TTAAATTAATACTTCAACAATTTCCAAGCAATATAATAAAATACAAAAAAAAAAAAAAATAAAGAAAATATTATTCCCAAGATAATTAAACAAATTATACATTATGTACTTATTACTTACTATTAAGTGCAGACAAAATAAAAAAAACACAAATGACTTATGTAACAAAAAAAAAACCTCAATAGGTTTTTTGTTAAAACCAGAGAACTGTAGTATAAATTACAATATCATAACAACATCCACATCATTTATCATTTACAAGCCACAAATAAAAGAATAAACATAGTTGAAAACAAAGCAAAACAAAAAACAAACGGTATATTATGTCATTATTAAGAAAGAAGAAAGAAAACTCACAGAAAAAAATAGGTGGAATAATCTTATGTAATGAGCATAGAAAGACCCTAGGAAGTCATCACACAGCTAACCGTAAGGTCACATTTCCAAATCCAGTTGCTGCACTGCCTTCTTTTGATCTTTGTTCTGCTGCTTACGCATAACAAAGAGCAAAAGTTAATTATAAAATTACTGGAAATTGATATGAGCGCCTGTAATAATAGTAATAGTAACGAAAGAGAATGTACAACAAAAGAAAAAGAACACACACATGCATAAACACATAACAACAGTAAGAACCTAAAGGTGAATGCTAATTGAGTTTTATTAATTGACATGTAGAGTTTAGCTGTTACAAATAGTTTTTTTCTATTTTAATTTTGTATGGGAAATTGAAATGGAATCCGAGTGCAATAGAAGGAAATGTAGATGAGGAATTTATGAAATATGGGGAAAAAAAGTGAACAATTTCTATTGAATGAAATTGCTGTGAAACTCAAATCTGAGATCATTTGTAGAGGACGGTTTTCTATAAAAAGAAATAACTATTTATACTTTTTCCAATGAAGATTTATTAAAAAACAAGAGATTTTGTCTCATTTTGGATACATTTACCGAACTTTACCAAAAAGTTTTATTACAGTCACTTCTTCTCTTTGGAATAATCGAAATAATAATTGCATCTTTTCTATTTCCTAGGGGAAAAATAGATTCAACCTCTGAAAAAATCAACAAACATTCTATTGCATGAAATTGCTTTAAAACTAACCTTTAATCTAAACTAGATCCCATTAACAGAGGACTGCTTTCTATAAAAAAATAATTTATTATTTAAATTTTTTCCAATGGTTTTTTTCTCCTATGGATTCGATTACTGAACTTTACCGAAAAACTTTATGGCAGTCACTTATTCTCTTTGAAATAATCGAAATAATAATTACCTTTGCAGAAATGTTCACATTTTTCTAAAAGATAAATTAGACTCAAACTTTGACAAAATTAACCCTCATCTGAGAAGTTTTTTTCTATAAAATATTTTTCTTACTTAACAGAACATTTAATATTTTCTGAACGAGATTCTATGCCATTAAATATTCAGACCCAAACAGAAAAAAGTAAATAATGGGGTCACAATTCAAAGGCAGGATATTTGAAATGTTTTCTTTTGGAAATCTTAGATTCCATCTCTACCAAAGCTAAGGCTTCATATAGTTTTTTCCCCATAAGAAAGAAATGTAACATCGGTTCAGACAGGGAACATCAGTTCAGACAAGCCTGGAGCCCAACTATGGAAAATGTGGTATTTTTTGTATGGGGTATAATAATCCACTGTACAGAATCAGCCATCAATTATGCTGAGATTTTATTCCTAAGTAAACATATCAGTCCTTAGCTCTGCTCAGTAACATCTACATGACAAAAATGTGGTCCATTTTCTCATATACAAAATTAATCCTGAAATATTTATATTGCCTCTCAGTTCAACTGGGGATTTGGAGTATTTTTCTCTGCCTCAGATTACAAAATCAGCCATCAATTATGCTAAGAATTTATTCTTAGAAAACATATCAGTCCTTAGGTCCGCTGAGAAATTTTTATAGAAAAAATCAACGTCCACTGTTCAGTAACATTTGTATGGCAAAATGTGGTCCAAAGTATTTTTCCCATAATAAAATAAGGCCCATAACCATAATTTTTTTAATAAAAAATAGCCCTCTCCTCAAATGAGGTTTTTTTTAATTAGTACAGAAATATTTCATATGAAATTTCTCCCAAAAGGATCATACCTCATCCTTAATAAAGGATTTTCTTTTGTTTTTTTCAGTTGGAATATTTTAGGGGAAAATTTAGCCCTCATCCACTAATAATTTTTCTAAAAATATTGCAAGAATTTCTTCTGTAGAAAATTATTCACCAGTATAAACTTCAGATCAACTGGAGAATTTTTTTAACAGTCAAAAACAGCGCCCGATTAGCTCAGAAATATTTCAATGAAAAAAACACACCTATGGATTTCATACCTTATTTCCTAAATAAAGGATTGCTAAGAATCGGTTGGAATTTTTACAAGCAAAAAATTAGGTATCGTCCAATGAAGATTTTTTCCAATAACTGAAAACAATCCCCATTTCTGGGAGAAGTTCTTCTGTAGAAAACGATCCATCAGCACAGTTAAACAATTTATTCCAATAAATTAAAAGACCATAGTTTTGATTTGAGCAGTATTTCAATGCATTTTCAACTAGTTCTTCAAGATTGTTTTTGAAAAAAAAGTCAGGCTGAATTCCAGTTTGTTGTTTTTATAAAAACCACTATTTATTAGTGGGGAATATGTGGCATTGTCCCCCGAGGGGTAAGACAGGGAAGACTATTGTTTCGGATCTCGCCACTGATCCTCATCAGTTCCCTTAGTTTTTTTTTGTTGGGATATTCTCCCTCCCACCCAAAAAAAAGAGTCAATTTTTCTTGTAAAATATTTCTGAAGATAATTCAAATCGTTTAAGGTACTTGTTATTGAGATCCCCTGTCGAGATTTACCTATCTTTGCTTTATTTTTATGTTTTAATAAAAAAAATAAATTGGTATCTATCAAGAATCCGATTAATCACTTAATAACAGAACATAGAAAATTATCATCAATAAACATACAAGCGGATGTGATTTGCGGCAATAAGTCATTTCTTAATCATTGCGATTTGAACAACAAGACATTAGCACACAATAAGCATCAACTACGACAATAATAAAAGCAACAATAATAATAATAACAATATACATATAGTAATAACAACAATATCACCTTAACAAGCTGGCTACAAATTTAATGAATGAAATTTATCTTTCTCTTTGATCAAAATTCAGTTGGCAAATCAACAAAAATTATAAACCACAAAATCAGCAGAATAACTGTTATTTTACTAGTTGTCTTGTTGTTTTTTTGCAAATCCACAAAAAAAGTGGGAACTATTCTAAAACCCTTAATTAAACATAGCCACCGCAGAACAGCAACAGCAGCTATTAACGGTTACAATATGAGAAATCATTTTTTTCTGGTTTTTTACTTCTTCTTAATTTTATGTTTCGTAAAGCAAAATCTAAACACCAATCTTAATAGGCTAATTAGATTTACAGCCTTTTCTGTGTTATTTGCCAACGTTCTTCTTTCTCTCAGTGGCATTTCTTTTTTTCAGTTCGTTCTTGTTGTTGTTTGTTTTGCTTTCTTAGGATAATTATTTAATAAACATAGGTTTTGAGAAGTACTGACAGCATAATTAGCAACGCCCAATTCTGTGCGCAGTATAACATGACGCCTAGGTATGGGAGAGTTTTTAGTTTATTTCTTTATCTGGAAGAGCTTTGGTTTCTCATCACTTGTTCTGTGTGTGAGATATATTTCGCGATTATTGTTTGAAACTATCTTTATTGAAAATCTAATGCAGGAAATAAAGAAGAATTTACCCACAGCCTGTTGCAGTCAAAGCACACAAAAAATTAGATACCTTAGAATTAGCGTGGTGTGAAATGAACTAAGCTGAGAACGTTACCAGAGAATTAAGAGAAGAAATGCAAGCAAAAAAAAAACTACTGGAACAAGATCAGCTGTTGGGAATGTCTGCCATGGTATTTGAGATGGCAAAAGTCATGAGGAATATTTCAATAAAATTCTATTAAATATACAGACATTTTTTGCAGATTTTTTTTTTAGAAAATGTTATATTTCCGACAAAAATTGAATTTTTCTCTTTCTTCAAAAGCCCATAATTAAATTCTGAAAAATATTTCTCTATTGCCAAAAAATTTTAAAAACTCCACAAGAAAAAAATTACGAACAAATTATATACCAGGAAAAATATCCCTTGCGCTCCATATGCTGAAATAAGCCTTCTAGAACCCATATTTGAATTTTGAAAATATATTTCCTTATGACTCATTACACTAAAAATATATATTTCCAAAAAATACTACTTGGCTCTCTTTGTCTTAGAACCCACGCTTTAATTTTGAAATAAATCTTCAATTTCTAAAACAATTGCAGTCTCTTCACCCTATGATAGATTCGATCAATATTATATCCATGAACAAATATTTCTCCTAATGCATTTGAAATGAAAATGAGGAACAACAATTAAAAGCATTTCCATAAAAATATCTCACTCCAGCTTTTCCATGCCACAACCACAACCGTCAGTGATTTGTTCTTCAGACACCTGCAGTTCCACTTGCTGTCAGAAATTAAAATCTATTAATTGAACACTTTAATAACCGTTATCCGTATAATAAAAATCTTAATGACTAATAAAACTAAAAAAGAACAAGAAAAGAAAAAATACCTCACACCGAGAATATGGGAAAAACTATTCCACTTCAAAGAAAAGTGGAAAATAACAAACAGGAAACCTAACACATATGGCCAAACAGCATCAATAAAAAATAAAAAAAAACTAACAGCTAAATTACATTAACGCATGCGAAACTTGTGCCACTGGTCGTAAGAAAAAAATAAATGAATTTTCCAACACTAATCGTAATCATAATAATAATATAACACATTAATAAAAATTAGTTAAATTAATGTATAGTTCGTTTTCCCTTTCTCTTTACAGCAAATACCCCACACACTACAAAGAATAAAACAACAGACAAACCGCAACAACAGCAACACAATGTTTCTGCGTAAAAGTTTAGTATTTCTAATGCTTTTCCTTGTGATCAGCTCAGCAACGGCGGCACGTAAAACCAAACGTCCTGTCAAGCCGGCCAAAACATTCCCTCGCACAAATGTAACACCTTCACCGCAAGCCGCGACCAGCAGCAGCAGCAGTACAAGCACAACCGCACAACCCATCATTAGTTCCAGCAGTACATCGAGCACAGCAGCCCCTCAACTGAAGACGGAAAATGTTAGCATTGAGGAAGCTGATTTGCCCGGAAATTTACTACAGAACAATGACAGTGAATTGCCAAAACCATTGGAATCCACTAACGGAAATGCCCAGTTGCCACAAGAATCAAAGACAGAAAAGCCAATGACTGAAAATGGCGGTGCTGCTGGTATGATTGAAGAGGAATGTGATCCGGATATGATTGGTTTTGAAATTATAACGGGGTAAGTTGAAGAGAGAGAGAATTTATAAAATTATGATTATTAGCAAGTGGATGAGTGAAAATCCGAAGAAAGAATGAGAAAAAGAGGGGTGAGAGTAAAAAAGAAGAGATCGTTGGTTATCAATGAATTGTTACAATAGATATCATGTAGATTTGGTTTTGTGTCTTAAGTCTTTTGTTGTGGTTGACCTATGGAAAAATAAGGGAACCTGTTGTCCGAGAGAATCCATTGATTTATCAATGAAAACTGAGAAAACACAGTTATATAATAAAATTAAACAATAAACCGTTTTCTTTTATTAGTTTTTAAACATGTTTGTGTCTTAAGTCTTTTGTTTGAATATTTACATATTTTAGAAAATTAGTAAAAATTACATAAAATTTAGACAAAAAGAAAGGAAATATATTAAACGACTATACTAAGACTTTCGATTATTTAAATTATGTTTGTGTCTTAAGTCTTTTATATTTTTGTAAAACTTTGTTTGGATTGCGGGAAAACATAGCGTGGTTTTCCTTTCTGTAGGTTTGTGGAAAAAATATGAATAATTTCGTACTTCCTATGAAAGTGTTCATATAGTGCCCTTTAAATCAGCAACCCTCAGAGAATTTACATTTTTGGGACCTTGGTCAGCCCCTCAATCATAGCGTAAAGAATCCACTGAATGATTTTGGACAAAAAGTAGAAGATAAAAGTAAGTAGAAGTAGAAAATAGCTCATAAATTGTGGGTAATGCTTTCACTACTGATGGACGACTCTCCCCAAATTTGCCTTTTATTAGAATAATTTAGATTTGGTCATAACCATATATTCCTCCTGAGCATATTTAGGCTCTCGCCAACTGAGTCTAACAAATCGATAGCATTAAAAACTCGACACGCTTTCCGCTTTCCTTTCCTATCGAATTTGGCTTAGACTCTGAGAATGACCAACATATGACAACATAATAATCGAATACGCATAGCCTGAGGCAACTCTATATTATGACACAACCATATATCGTAATAAAATACCACGTTTGTGTCTTAAGTCTTTTGTAGGCTTATACCTCTATTCGTATAAATAAATTTCTCAGATTTGAGAAATCCTGGAGGTTTTAAGTTTTGAAGGTATTTTCCACAGTTTTCAGGGAAATTATTTATATATCTGAAAAAGGGTAAATTTTCCATAAATTGTGAACCTATGAGGTTTTAAATTTAAAAAAATGCACAAAACAAATACACTTGGGTGTTGTGCAGCACACTGAATCCGACATTTCCGAGGGAGGGCAAGAGATATATGTTTATAACTACAACTACGTCGTCTACCTTTGGTATGGTATGGGTCAGGAATGCTAATATTTCGTCAAATGGTACGATTTTTTTCAATTAGGATATCTAACCAATGGAAATATAGGAAGACTATATTCTTATTTTTTATATCGGCCGGTCCTAAATTTCCTCATCAGAAGCTTATAGGAGATAAGTGTATTGAACCGAGGTCCGGGAAATCCCCTTTTTCTACACCATAGGATGGTTATAATAACAAAAATGAATAAATAAATGTCATCAACTGGGTAATACGATTTTTCAAACGTCAGAAGCCATATTATAGGTGGCTATTATAGCCACACCAACCATCTACTAAAATATGGTTAAAATATAACCAGTGAGCGGAGCAGAATAGTCGGACGGGGCCGACCATACGATACCCTACACAACTTCACCCTGTTGCCCGATTAGAGGTCAACTGAATACTTAAGCACCTGTAAATATTTAAGTGTAGCTCCCACATCTGAGTACATACGACCATATAATTGGTATCTATTTAAAGGTCAACCACTCCTCTTGAACCTACTATCAACTTTTTGGGTCTAGATCCTTCAGGGGCAAATATATACGTAATTTTTCACACAAAAGTCAGAGTCCATTTGGCCCGCTAAATATTGACCGATCTTTATCAAAACAGCCATGCTTATTCTTCGGCCCGATCCCCTTCTCCATGCAAAAATTCGAGGTGTTTGAGCCATAATTGCGGCCTCTGGAGCGACCAGAAAATCAGACAAAAATAAAGTTTTTGGTCCATTTCATCCCCTAAATATTAACCGATCTTTTCCAAAAACAATAGAGGTCTTCATTGGCCAGAACCTATTCTACATGCAAAATTTCGTGAAGATTGGTCCATAACTGTGGCCTGTATCGTGTTTACAAATTATAATGGACAGATGGACGGACATACATGTCTAGATCGACTCAGCTAGTCGAGATATGACGATCGGTGTACATATAGGCCAATATTTCGCGGCGTTACAAACTTTTGGGGCTGCACAAAGCCATATTACCCTGACAACATAGTTGTGTAGGGTATAAAAAGCAGTGGCCAAATCGATACGTGGATCATAAGATAATAGTTCACATTGAATCTTGTTAAAATACTAATTTAAAGTAGATTGAAAAATAAACCAAGAATTCAAATATCACACCCTTCACTGAATCATATAGTAAGAGCTTATTTGGCCTGTAGAATAAGAGAATACATCAATATGTCTCTCATGACACAACCGCGTAAACAATGAGAGATTATATTTTACTCTCCTTTGAAAGATGAGGCAAAGTCGACAATATTTTTAATTAGAACTACATCTTCACACTTGCCAATAAGACATATATTTTTAATACCTTCAGGACACGCCTAATCATTTCATATGAGTTTATGTGCTCTCAAAAGATCTCAACATATTGAGATCTTTATGAGCAAATATATATATATTTTTATGAGATTTCTTGACATTTTTTTAAATTTTTATGGATTTTCATTTTTCTGAAAGCCTATATGAAAATTAAATGTATTTGACAAAAAAATGCTTTATAAAAGCTTTGGGTTTCCAAAAGAAGTTTGTGTCTAAAGTCTTTTGTTTAAAACAAAATATTTACTTTCTTTGAAAATTTAATATTACATAAAATATTAATCCATAATAATTTACGACTTCATATAATGTGTTAAGCTATTGTTCTGAGTGATACCAAAATAAAACAAACATTTGTTAATAATATTTGATATGCTAATTTAAAATGTCATACACAATAACAATCAAAATTTGTATTTTTTTATATACACATTGTTAGCTCCCGACTATTAACATTTCATAAATATTCAAGAACAAAAGCTTTATCAAAAAAAAGCTATCGTTAAACTTTTAGTTTCATTCGTTTATCTTCTTTAAATTTATTTATTTTAAAATCAAAATAAAAAGGAACCCCTCAACAAAGAAATATTTAAAAAAAAATTAAAGCGCAAAATTTCTAGTTTTACGCCCAGTCATCACAGTTCATATTGATGATGATGATGTTAGGTCTCCTATTGTCTTTAACATTCATTCTATGTTAACACTTGGCGTTATGGTTTAATCATTAGTTTCACATTTCATTTCATTTTCAGTTTTTGAAGTTGTTTCTTAAATGAAAGTTTAACAAAAACGCTTAAGGTATCATCACGGTGATTAATGCCTAGCCATTAGAGAATTAGAACATATTAAGGCGTTAAACAATTAACTACCGTAATATACCGGACACCACCACCAATGGCGTTATAATGATTTGTTGGAGGCAGAAAAACTAACAAAAGGAAAAAAACGAAGAAGCTGTGTTCTAAATAATTATAGCATTCCATGGTGTTTTTTAATTGATTTATTAGAACTTTAAAATTTGAAACTATTCAGTGTGAAAAAGGGAATTGGTTTTGAATGAATTTTGATCAATGGGAGGGTAATTGAAAATTAAATTAATAAAAAAATTAAATCTTTACGCCATGGTTAAAACTGAAAATCAATCTAATATAATGTTTCCGGAATTATGATAAGAACTTTTCTCTCCGATAGTACCACTTGCACAACAGTATAGAACCTTCTGGCCATGAAAATCTTTGATCAAATGATTGGTTACCATGATGTGGAGTATAGAAATAACAAAGAACAAATAAATTAAATAGAATTCTTTACGGCAAGTTTCGAACGGGAAAATTTAAAATCTAATATATTTTTTATTCGGAATTTGAATTTTAACTTATTTCCCTCCGATTGCAACATCTGCAAAACATGATTTTTGAACTCTTCAACAGCATTTTCTAGCGACGAAAATTGTTCTCCAAGTATTTTTCCATGATGTGAGGATATAAAAAAATAAATCTATCTAGGAGGCCTTTTGGCTTTGTTGCAAAAAAGTAAAATAAATTAAATTAAAAAAAAAACAACCAAAAAAAAAACTGTTTGTCAAGTAAAGATAACCCATCAATTCTAAGGTTAGCCCGAAATATGTATGGTGGTCATCGTAACCTTATCAATATAAATATTTGGATAGATATACATAATTGTCAAAAGTAAACAAAAGACTTAAGGCGCAAACTTATTTTATTATAAACCCATAATATTAATTTTCTATGTTGGGATCTGCATAATTGACAATATAAACAAAGGACTTAAGACACAAACTTTTTTTGTATCATTATCACCCAATATTTAGTTCCTCGATTTTTAAATATATTTCAAATAAAAAAATGCTTATGGCGATAAAGTTCCCCCATGCTGAAATATATTCACCAACAACATTATTGATGAACCATCAAGATAATATAATAGGCATTTAAGCTCTCTAAAATACATTTCACACATCCCACCCATTAAGAAGGATTAAAAATGCAAAACCATTATTCTCAATTCTTATCACATCAATCATTATGAAGCCTATCCTATCTTATTCAAGTCAGCAAACCACGAAAACAAATTACGCCACTTTATTTTAAATGTTTTGGCCATAACATTTCAAAACCCACGCATCAGAGTTCAGTGATAAAGCGCATTGGCATATTATAAATTATGGAAAATAAGCCACCGGTTTTCTGTTCATAGAACACTAAGCCACTTAAAACGGAATAGGAAATTTAAGATTTTATGCAACAGTTAAGACACCTCTTCATCAACGTCTTTGTTTTAGTTTTGTTCTTTCATTCTTCCTTGGCTATTTAGTTAATAGGCCTAAGACAAACTACTGCTTCATATACATTCTTATTCTAGCATTGTTGTTTTATTCATTGTTTTTGTTGTTGTTCTCTTTTTGCAGTTATGTATTATCGGCGCCATCAAAAATGCTTGACACACTGCCCGGTACACTTATGTTGACCGATTGCCTGGAGGCCTGTCAGATAAATGAATCATGCAGCGCAGTTAATTATGAAACCGGACTCTGTGTATTATTCAAAACAACAGCGGACAAAACACCAGGTGAGTTGAAGTCATAGACAAAGAACATAATACGTCATATATAAGTGTATATAGAAGAGAGTTAAGAACAATAAAATATAATTTTCAGTGTCTGTAAAGAAGTTTACGGTATAGGCCTATTGGCTGAATTATAAAATTTGTAAGCAAGAGAAATGGGGTCTAAACATTGCTTTCCGAGGAAAATTTCTGTAAAAAAATTTTCAGAAAAACAAATGGGATTTTTTACATTTAGATGTAAAATTAACAAGATTTTCAGATATAAGGTCTGATATATGAGAGAGTTCAATTGGAAGGTATAGTACATTTGACGTACAACCATGTGTTGTGTCGTTTACTGTGTCTTGAAAAATCAATTAACCAAAAAACTGTTTTCGTTGATATTTTTTTACTACTTTCGACGTGGAACCTGAACCTGATCGCACCTTCATGCTAAGTTTCTTGACAATTCTGCCAAAAAAAATTACTTAGAAGACTTGTGACAGAGCATTTGTTCCATAAGACGAGCATAAAAAAGTTTTTGAGTCGGTCTTGTGCGCAGCTCTTCCAATTTGAATGACCATGTTCCGAGATATTGTCTTCCACTTGATCTTTCCATCGAATTGGTGGCACTTCCCTTCTAAGTGAGCCATCGGTTGACTGGGTTTTATATGCCTTTTGAACAGGTGCATCCTGATCCATTCTCACAACGTCTTAACTGTAGCTCGATACGTCTGAATATGTCGATGTCCGAGAATAAGGTCGAAGGTCGTAAAGTGGTCAAAAATACCATAGGACATTAATGCGTGTGTGAATTTATAATGCAAGTCCGGTAGAGACTTCCTTGAGCATTTTTCGGTTTGTTCTACCCAGGTCCCGCAAAATGTGATAATTGCTCCAAAAAAAGGGCTCAGGTTAATTGTTTCAAAAATATTTTGAATAAAATACTAATGCAGTGGTTCCAAAGATCCGCACATGTAACGAATCATGGCTCTATACGTATGAGCCCGAAACTAAAAATCAATCGACCATCTGGGTCTTCGAATATGAATCACATCGATTGACATTTTTCGGGGAAAAATCACTTCACTGTTACGCTTGAGCAGAGTGAGACGACCAAATTTTATTGGTACTCCACAATATTTTTACCTAAAGACTTCGAAAAACGCAATTGGGAGAAGACAAGTCACTCTGACACTTCGACTCAAACCTGCGTCTTTTTGACCGGGCAAAACGTGGCTGTAGTTGGTCATACGCCACACTGTTATGTATCCCTGCACAAAAAAAGAGATCTCCAGCCGAACTGGTTGAGATTAATCTCCTTAAGCAATATAGATCGGTCAATTTTGACTGATATCTAACAATTTCTTTGCCTGAAATCTTCGCAAAGTTTCGAAAACCGAATAACGGGGATAACGAATCATTGCGCACCTTTTAAATGCGATATCTCGCACATCGACTCAAATAAAGGGAATTTTTGAGCGGCAAAAACATGGAATTGGTTGGTCATCCTCCGTTCGGACCTAACTTCGCATCAAATGACGTATTTCTGTGAACTCATAGTGGTATACCACCACAGTCTTCGGAGATCTTTGAAAAACGTACCAAAGAAGGCAAATCATTACACATGAAGTCAATGCAGGCTCTTACACTTCGGTGTGCACCACTTCGACCGGTTTGGTCAACCAACTTACAGTCCTGATGACTTTTTTACTCCCGTAAACTGAGAATAATTTTTTTCCGTCGCCAGAAGATATTGTAAAAGCGTTCAAATCCGATTCAACAATTGGTTGGAGCGCATAAACCCATTTTGGATAGCAAATGTTCGCGTTATTAGGACAGAATTCAAAAATATGAATTTTAATATTGGAAAATGTTTTCTCCTTCCTTCTAAGACTGCAATTATTACACACTTTTTCTTTGATCCGGAAATCACCTAAAATCACAATCCTTCAAATGGTTTATCCTCCTTTAAAAGGCTGCAATTATTACACAATTTTTGTTTGCTCCCGAAATCGCCTAAAAATATCCCTCCTTCAAATCCAAATCAAATGCATCGAAAATCCAAAACATCTTCAAATCTAATGTCAAATATTCCCATTTTCATTATAAGGCTTGCTGTTGTTGTTGTAGCAGCCCTATTGCTTTTACACAAAGGCTTGTAAATATATTTAGTAGCCCCCGAATTATTTGTATTTTCCTCCCTCTATAGGCTTCAATCATTAAACAAATGTTTCCTCGATCATGGCATCGCCCAAAAAATCTCCCTCCTTAAAATCCCTTCACATTTATTCTCACAATTCAAAATCACAAACTTACTCTCCTTATCATACCATTACCCTTATCTGCCAGCATTTACTTAACCCCAAGCCAATACAACTTCAAAACACTTAACTTCTATAGAAAAACCCCCAGAGGAAGAAAAAACAAACAACAACTACTGACAAGGAATGAAAAAAAGCTTTTTAGCATAGTGTTTTGTCATACTAACACTAAGCATGGAGACAAGCCCCTCAAAATTTGTATGCAGAACTTTTTCAAAAAAATAAAAATAAAATAGTCCCCTATAAACTTGTCCTTGCTGCTTGGTAATATGTTAGAGGCAGCAGCAACCATGTATTTTTTCTGTTGGCAAATGTTTACGCGCCTGCTAAAGACATAAGTGTTGTGGTTGTAGTTTTTGTTTTTTGCATGCTTGTTTCTTGTATCTGCTTAAGGAACATAAAAAATGACTTAAATTCAGGCATAGGCCTGGTTTTAATAACAGGTTTCCGGCTACGAAAAAATCGAAGAAAAAAATAAGCCAACGAAAGGAAACAGCGAAAAAAAATCAAGTAACAAAATCATTTTTGTGCCAACGCCTTTAAATGGCAGCAACAGCAGCAACAACACGCCGAGGCAACGCACTTTGTGTGAAATCTGAACTGAAGGCCAAGAGAAGGGAGTCATGAAGAGTAGCAGCAGTAGGCTTTTTTCTGTTTGTCTCTTTGCAAAAAACTTTAAGAGGCCTTTTCGGTTTTGCGCAACACCAATAACGACAAAATCCATTCAGTCAGTCGTCGTCCACATTTTGAGAGCCTTTTTCGTATTTCTTAACGCCTGTTAATTTTTTTACGACACTGCAACAACAAGTGCGTGATGAAAATATGTTGTGTCGAACGGCCTACCGGCTACAAAAAAGTTTAAGACAAACAAAAAAGCCAACAAAACTGCTTGTGGCAAAAACGACAGACAGAATCTTAGAGGTCCAGAACAAACTCGATTTGAGGTGGCTGCTTACACATGAAACAGTTATGGATGGAGACAAACACACATACATACATGTACAAACCCATATACAGAAACTGCAACTAAATAAAATATAAAAATCTGGTCTGATGCTGGTGCGTAGATGCTGCCGCTGCAGCTGTTGCAAGCAACCAAACCACTGATCATTGAGGACAATAATGATCATTGATTGGAAATCCAATCAGAAAAAAATATTCACTACAGCATCTCCTTATTTTTTACTTTACTCTCTTCCTTTCCTTTCATATGTATATTTGTATGTGTATATTTATTTTTTATGTGCCATAATTTTTAATGTATTTTTTGTGTTTTCATTTCTTCTTCTTCTTTGCCATAGGTTCACTTTCTCGTTCCCAATTCCCAGTCTTCACAATTTACGCACAAAAATCTTGTTTGGGTGTACGTCCTTGTTCCAAGGCCTGGTGCATTGATCGTGTACAAAACTATCGTTTAGTGGATCATGTTAAATCCAGTCAAACGGTGTACTCAAGACGCGATTGTTTGGAATTGTGTTTGGGTGAAACTGAATTTACATGCAGGTAAGTTTTGAGATTTTTTTGTATTGGTTATGAAAAAAAAAACGAAATAGATTTGGGGGGCCAACAACTAGTTTTGTGCGTACCATTGAAATGAAAGTAAATTGAAAAGTAATCAAGAAAAAATGAAAAAGAAGAGGGAGCAGGTAATACATAAATTAAACAGAAATATCCTGTTTCCTAACGAGAACATCGAACACTCAGAAAGAATGTGGGTTAAACAAGATATTTATTACACAATTATTAATTACAAGAAAGATTAAATTTAATTAAAAAAATACCCAAATAACCCAAGGTGATTATAATTTACACATACATTTAAACACACTACGAGTGATGCACCAAACATATACAATTTTAACCTGATCACTATCCATACTAACACTTTTTTCCTGCAAGTAAATATCTAACAAAAAATAAACGAATTTCACAAGTTTCTTTTTTCCTCTTCTAATCACTATCATAAATAAATTAAATCGTTAGGAATGAAAATACATATTTTCTCCAGTTACTCTTCTTGGGAGCACAGGTTTTTCACAATTAGTCCCTGGTTTCTTATTCCACCTAATTCGATCATTGGTCTGCTGTAGCATGTCCAAGCTAAAAAGGCTGACATCTAGCGTTGCATAGAAAAATTACCTCATTGAGGTTTTGTACAATGGTTTATGTCTTTGCCATGGTTTCTTATTCACTTAAGTCCATCATTAGTCTGCTGTAGCACGTCGTAGGTAATAAAGGTGACATCTAGCGTAGCATAGAAAAATTACCTCATTAAGGTTTTGTCCAATGGTTTCCAGGCGTCGGTCTTGTTCGCAATTTGAAAGAGCATGTTCCGAGATTCATGGCCTTCCCTTCTAAGTCAACCATCAGTTTCAGCTGGGGCATCCTCATCCATCCTTACTACATGACCTAGCCAACGTATTCGCTGCAAATTGCATACATCTGACTATGTGGATGTCCGAGAATGATTCATTCCAAGGTGATGTTCACCGTCGACACAGATCACACACTCCAAGAGCTGCCTCATCCCATGCTTCTGATCAATACAACAGCACGGGTAGTAGTCTCAATAGCCTCAATTCATACAAAGGTGTCTGCTATCGATGTCATCGGCGTATGCGAGTAACATGTGTTGTTTGTTGTACAGAGTGTGATTTCCGTTCACCCTTGCGTCTCGTATGAAATTTTCCAGCAGGATGTTAAAAAGATAACACGACACACTGCCATTTTACGGTATCCTGCTTAGCCGTATTAGTTTTGCAGGAATGCCAAACGCAGACATGGCTTTAAACACCTCTGAGCGGTTGGGGTTGTTGAATGCGGCTTTATAGTCGACGAATAGGTGGGATGAGTCGATATGTTTTTCGTGAGTCTTTTCCCGGATTTGGCGCTGAGTGAAAATTTGATCAATGGCCGATTTGCAAGGCATGAATCTGCATTAGTATGATTGATGACACTTTGTATACACTGGGAAGGAGACTTAATCCTTTATAGTTGGTACACATCGTCTTGCCTCCTTTGCACGGGACACAGAATGCTGAGGTTCCAATCATTGGGCATGCATTCCTCTAGCGAAATTGTACTAATCAACTGGTGCATGCTCCTGACCACCCGTCTTGACCAGTTCGGCTGGTAATTCATCCGCACCTGGTGCTTATTCGTCAGCCTATTAATTGCTATTCCAACCTCATCTTGGCTATGTGGTATCTATCTTCCTCACCGCCACTATTTGATACCAAAAGCTTTGCAAAATACTCCTTCCAGATCGTTAACACGCTGCCTGTATCTGTCACTAGGTTTCATTGTTCATCTCTATAGAAGGATGTGTCTATACCACAGCTTTTGGTTTGAGCTAAAAATAACCCTTTATTGGCTCTATACTGTAGACTATGGAATTGAGGCTTATCTTTCTATATTCTCCTTATTTCGCACAATAAAATTGTACTTCAAATTTGACCCTTCTGGAAGAAAATGCTATATCCTCTATCGCTATACCATTTAATTCTATATATACTCCTACTACTTCTTCCTACCTATTTTATACTACATTCATCACTTTCTATATTGCTTTTTTATTACATTTAGCACTACTTTCTTTCCGAGCCTTTCATTTGTAATCTCTTTTATGCCATTTTCATTTCAACACATTTATATTAGGTCTTAGAATACACTCCGAAATTTTAATCACGCTCATTACACTCTGTACACCTACACTTTACACTAACATAATCTAGATTAAGATTCGAAATAAGTTTATATTTTTCTAATTCTATGTTCCTTTTTTACTTTCTTTCTTTCCATCTTCCTCCTACTTTATATGCATGCAATGCTTTCTGTCTCTATCCTACTTATATTTCACTGTATGTGTATATGTGGAAACACCGAAAAAATCCATACCATTCCATTATCAATTTAGATCTGCCAATTATTATCGTCATTCCGGCTTGTGTGAATTGAGTGATATGGATCGTATTACCTTGTCGGGCGGCAACAATGTGGAACCCTATGATGGTGCTGATTATTTGGAAAACAATTGCGCTGAGGAACCCAGTAAATTGTGTGAATTCAAAAGGATTTCCGGTAAAATCTTAAAGACTGTCGATTCGGTGTATCAGGATATCAACTCCATTGAAGAATGTCGTGATTTGTGCTTGAACTCGCCTTACAGGTAATTGATAAAGGGATTTTTATTTTTTCGGTAGGGAATTGAATTACAATTCTTGGGGTTGTTTTTCTAGATGCCACTCCTATGACTACAATGATACCGGTGATATGGTCTGCCGTTTGTCTCACCACTCTCGCTCCACCTTGACCGATGTTTTGGATCCCTATTTGGATGTCCCAGAGGCTGCCACCTATGAATTGTCTTCCTGCTACAATGTCTCCATTGAATGTAAATCCGGTGAAATGATTACCAAGATTCGTACCTCCAAATTGTTCGATGGTAAGGTATATGCCAAGGGTGCCCCTAAATCCTGCTCCGTGAATGTAAACAACTCCTTGGAATTCGATTTCCGTATGGGTTACAATGATTTGGAATGTAATGTCCGCCAGTCAGCCTATGGTCGTTATATGAATGATATTGTTATCCAACATCACGATATGATTGTTACCTCCTCGGATTTGGGTTTGGCCGTGTCTTGCCAATATGACTTGACCAATAAGACCGTTTCGAATGATGTTGATTTGGGTGTTACCGGCGAAATTGAATCCTCGTTGAGCGAAGAAATCATCATTGATTCACCCAATATTATCATGAAGATCACATCTCGCGATGGCAGTGACATGAAACGTATTGCTGAAGTCGGTGATCCCCTGGCTTTGAGATTCGAAATTACCGATCAAAACAGTCCCTATGAAATTTTCGTACGTGAATTGGTTGCTATGGATGGTACAGATAATGCTGAAATTACCTTGATTGATGCTCATGGTTGCCCCACCGATCAATATATTATGGGTCCAGTACAAAAGATGTCACAAAATAGGAAATTCTTGGTTTCCCAATTCGATGCTTTCAAATTCCCCTCATCCGAAGTTGTGCAATTCCGTGCCTTGGTAACCCCCTGTATTCCACGTTGTGAACCTGTTATTTGCGATAATGAAGATTCCGTTAGTGGTGAATTGAAGTCCCTCGTGTCCTATGGTCGTCGCAAGAGATCCATTGTCAATGGTACAGATGGTGGTAAGTTTTGAGAGAACCCAAGCAATAATAAATTGGATGTTAATTTATTCCCCATGTTTTATTTATTTCCAGCTGAATTCATGGTCTCCTCATCCGCCTTCCACCACCATGGCCGCCATCAACGTGATGTTAGTCAAAAATCTGCCGAAGATAATATTCTGCTGGTCCAGTCTATTCAAATTACCGATAAATTCGGCTTCAATCAAGAGGAAACAAATGCCCTGAATTCTGCAGATGATCATGAAAAGGTTTATGCTGGCATTGCCGAAGAATCGTTCACTTGCCTAAATGGTTATGGTAAGTTGAGGATTTTTTTATTTTCTTCTATTTTTTTATTAAATAGAAAAATAGGCCCAATATATTTGTTTTCTGTTGGTCACCTGTTTAGCAGGAAAAAAATAAAGTGGATAAATTCCAATCGAAAAAAAAACGCTTAATAATCATTAAGCTTGAAGATTTTTCCCAAACGTATCTGTGGAATAAATCTTCAGCATCCAGCGTGATCAAAGTGCTATCAGAAAAATATTATTTACAAGAGAAAGTATTTCAGGTTATAATATTATGTTTTTGTTGTTGTTTTTGTTTATGACATTTAAGCCTACATAAAAAAACTTTTTTTTAAGAAAAAATCTTGACCACAATGTAAACAATTCATTGGACACATGTATCGTCCGTACCCACAATGATGATGATACGGCTGCTGACAATGATCTGAGAGAACAAAAAAGCACACACACACAAAAAAGCTACAAAATATACATAGTGGCATATCATGTGTACGTACGAGTATGTGCATACATTATGGTCATCAAATGACCATTAAGCTTGGCCATAACTCTTTCCTTGGTCTGGTGGTCTTCCTTTTTATAAAGAGGAAAAATAAATGGACACACATTGAAGTAAAAAATGATGTAAATAAAGCAGCCACAATACAGCATTTTTGTTTTCTGTGTGTGGCTGGTTCCATTTGTTTGCTTGCTCGCTGGCTCTCTCTTCCAGTCGCTCAGATCATTTGTTCGAGGAAAAACGCCAAGTTAATGATAAGGTCGTTTGTGGTAATCTGTTCTACATTTGGAGCTTGGCAAAAAAAAAACCAGCGCACTTGCTTGATAAAAAATATAAATATATTTTATGAACAATTACTTAGTGATGCTTATGAACCGCTAGGATGCAGGCTTAGTGTTTGCAGAGGTAGAGCACCCACACTTTGTTTAGATGGGGATTTTTTGTGCTCATATGTGCATATGGATTCATATTTGCATTCATATTTTTGCGTTAAGAGGTCCATTTAAAAAAACTTGACATCTTGAAAATAAAATTTAAAAAAAATTAAAATTATTGGTAGTCACAGTTTCATCAATTTCCCTTTGATTATATTATTTATGGAACCAAACCTTATATAATACAAGACATGTTAACTGATCTTCTTCAAAATTTCGATTGATGTTTATATAAGCACAGTCGAAAAAATGTATCACCAATCTATTGGGTAGAGTTATTTAATTCACAAAGGAACTAGTTCAATTAGACGATTCTCTGAATGGAGCATTTGAACTAGGTCAGTTAATATGGTTCATTGTCAGTTCAGTTTATTATCAGCATGAACTATTCATTGCCATGTGCTGGATCGCTGTTGTTGAATTTCCGATCGATTAAAACACACAATTTTAAAGAATTCAAATAAACTTGAGGATTTTAGGTCCCTTGATGGTATCTTAAATTTGCTGCTTAGTTTTCTGTAGTTGCTCAAATTCAACACCAATCCATTGGTAAAATTTATTTACTGCACTACGGAACAAGTTCAATTGGACGATTCTCTGAAAGAAATATTTCCATTATTCATATAGATTTTACAAAATTTGTCCCATTCTATATTGTTCAAAATTTCTATTGAAGTCCTATATCCATCTTCTGCCGATATAAATATAATATATTCTCAGTCGAATCGATTACGAGTTCCCTAATGGTAACTAGCCCTTTCTCAAGTCACCTTAAATTCTCAAGAACGTTCATCTCTGAAAATTAAAAATATTTGAAGGAGTCGGTCATTATACGGGTCGGACATTTATGTAATATATTATCCGACAATTTTTCTTCGAACAATGTGCTGCTTAGTTTTCGGTAGTTGCTCAAATGCATTATCAATAAACTGAGTAGAGTTGTGTAGTTCACACGCGAACTAGTTCAATTGAACGATTCTCTGAAAGGAGCGTATGAACTAGTTTAGGTAATACGGGTCATTGAAAGTTTAGTTTATTATCTCCAAGAAATCAAAATTATCTGAGCTTTTAAAGCACATCACAATATTCTATGCTTAATGGGCGTTGGAATTGGCGTTTGAAATCTAGCAGATGCAGTAATACAACAAAGAAGCCTAACGAATTTAAATCCTCAACATTTTTCTAAAGAAATCGGATTAAGACAATTTCCACTTGCATATTTTCATACCTATTAACGGTTCCACAGTCGTTATTCTTCACACGCTATAATCCTTTCATTTCTTATTACAAACGTAAAATAATTCTTCATAGCTTCATTACCCAATAGACTTCAAGCCCGTAAGTCTTTAGTAGCACGGATTCAAGTAGCCTACAGAATATTCGCTGGGAAAAATTTAAACTGTATAAACCACCAAAGTATATCTGAACCTAACCTTACATTTCATCATCGATAGATGCTGACATTTATCAATAATGCATTAACAAGTCACTAAAAAACCTAACGAAGAGAATTACGCTCCCGATCTCATCAACATTTTTTTTTCTGGAACGGATATCGAAATAGCTCATTATAATTGAATAGAGCGGAAAAGTAAATCGATATATGGTACAATATATGCATTCAGCTGACTATGGAGAAGAGTAGTGGTGGATCATATTCTGGAATGATACGTTGTTGAGAACCTATAGTAAACCTATCAGTACTAATGCTTGCCTAACATCATTTTTTTCTCACCAATTTTTGGAGAGGGTAGTCATGTAACAACTGCCTTCGTTTTTAAAATATGTCGGTCCCACTTTACAAACTTTGACAAGCAGACAATTTCGACTCGGTCAATTTTTATTGAAGTTAACCATGGTACACCGTTGTTATTTTTACAACTTTTCGGTTCAAAATGTATCTTCAAAGGCAGTAATTTGATATTCTCGATTTCTATATAATTTCTATATAAAAAATTACATTTAAAATCGTTGCACCAAGCAAGCCTTAAAAAAAGAAATTTCTTTCCCCGAAAAAAACACTAAATACACCCACATGCATTCCTCTCGAAGGCAAAATGATAAATTATTTAACCTGGAAAAAATGCACACACACACATACATGCAAACAAAAACTAATTCTTTTTTGTTAACATAAACCAGAAGTTTTGTAAAAATATTTCGGTTTTTTGTTTGGGGGGGGAGAATAACATACGTTAAAGCCACACAACAGGTGGTAGACATAAAAACTGATTTTATGTACTAAGGTTATTGCTTACCATTAGAGAGCCAGGCTTTAGAGTAGTATATGATTGGATGAACGGTTGGTTGGCTGGCTGGTTGGATGGATGGATGCTGTATATGTTGGCATCATATGTTTTTGGGAAGCGTTTAAACATTTTGCTGTTGGCTGCTGCTGCTATAAACTGGGGCTTCTGTTGTTGTTATTTGGGATTTTTTGCGACTATATTTAGTTAACGTTTATGGTTTAGTTCCAGAAAAGAAAAACCCAAAATAATGTCTGGCAATGTTACCGGCATTTTTTGTGTGGTTTTGTGCTACAAACTTTTGGTATGTCAAAGCGATGGAAAAATTCTATAAGCAGTTGTGTTTTTTTCATCCATAGCACGATTAGCAGCCAAAGCAAAAACTACCACCACCACCAGCGCAAAAAAGGAACATATCATGTTTAAACCACTGAACTACTGACCTGATCACGAACTCTCTCCAAATTTGTTGTAATAGTTAAGACGAAGAAGTTTTTCTTTTTTTGGGGGAGTTTTTTTTCTTCATACCTGGTTTCCAATGAAAAATTGGCCAACGATAGGGCGGCGTAAAAAAGCTTCTCAGCATCTATTCCATTGAAAAATTGATAATATTCGCCGGTTTGTTATGGGTTTTTTGCCTTTAGTTTGTTTTTAACAAGAATTAGTTTTGGATCTGTAATAAAAAAAAATAGAAAATAATTTAATATGTGGTTATTATTTGTTGTTATTGAAAATTACAAAACAATATTTCAATTAATCAAATGTATGTCAGAAAAAGAGTATTTTTCCGAAGCCACTATGAGAGGGAAAATTTGTAGGACAATTTATCAGGTCTATAAAAATAAATATTAATCTAGTTTAAAATAAATTGTTCTGCTAGGTGGGTGCGATAAAAACATTTTCTTTTATGAAGGAAAATAATAGGTCAGGGAGGCTTGGTAAATATAAAATTAGGCAAGGTAAAATACGAAGTGAAAAGGCTATTTATATTAAGAATATTTTTAAGCGTAAAGAAAACTATCAGACTCATAAGTCTGGATTTAAAAATTATTTTTTCCAAAGCTTCATAAGCCTCGATTTTTTTAATAATTTTTAATTTTTTTAGTTTCTTGTGCTCGATTTTTTTATTATATTTTACAAGGATAAATTTAATTTAAATTTAATATATTATTTTTATGTAGCTCATCTCGAAAGAGAAATTAATATAATATATTACTTTCCTTCTATATATTTTTTAATTCCCCATTTTCTATATTTTCCTTTTCTTCCACAAATAAAATCAGGTCTCATCATTGCCGGTGCTGCATTCCTATTGGCTCAACTCTCAGTCATTGTTATCTGGAAGACTGTACAGAAACGCTCCAAGAAAGAACGTTATCTCTATCAACAAGATTCGGCACCATCATCGGTTAATTATGGTGCACCCACCATGGTCTATGGAGCCTCCCACCTACAACACAGTTCATCATCACAGGGCAAGGCCAGTGATACATTGGGTAAACTCTATGACAGTGGCATGAGTGGACGTTATGGTCAGCAATATTAAGAGAAAGAAAAACAACAAAATCTGGCACATTAGGAAACCCCCCTTAAAAACGAACTTTTAGACTTTTAGGACCACAAAATTTTTTTTATACAAAACAGATGAAGAAAAACTAAAAAGAAATGAATTTACTTAAGAGACTTTTTCTACTAATATTTATATTATAAAAAATAATTATAATTTTTTTATACGCAACATAGTTTTTAGAAAAAAACACACAAGAAGACATCTATGTAATGCATCTAGTAAATAATAGGAAATAATTTAGAATTTGACAAGAAAACAAAAAAATAAGTAGAAAAAGAAATGAAAAAAAAACAATCTACCATTTGCATATAACAATGCCAGCTTTTAAAGGCGATTCCCGAAGGGGGAAGGGGTAAGGAAAAACCACTAAAATCTTGACCGAATACTAAAAAACAAAACAATTTTCCAAACCTCCATCCCCCAGCGAATTGCTTTTTAAAACCTGGCATTGAGTCTTTCGAAACGAAACGAAAAAAAATATAAAAAAAATAACGCAGGTATTATATAAAAAACATTAGCTTAGGATTTTTTTCTTCCATCTTAGCTTTACTATATTTTTTATATATAAAAACTATACTCTATAATTATTTATTTATTTATTCTTGCTTTCGATTCTATCCAATGTGGCCACCACTCTACAAAAAAAGTAAATCATATGGTAAATTTTGAAATAATTTTGTATCAAAATATTTCACAATATTTACCTTTTACTTTTTACCTCCCCCACCCTCTGCTAATTCCTATCTATACGCTATCATAATAATTATTTATTTTTATTTGTAACTAAAAATAATTATTTATTTATTATTTTCTTCCTTTGGAATTCCTTAGTTTAGTAATTTTGTAATTGTAGTAAGAGAAAAAAATGTCTTTACTATATTTTTCTATAAAACGCCGGCGGTAGCTATATATGAAAATGAAATCAAGGTGCTTTTCTTTTTTAAATTTCACTTAAATTTCTGATGTAGTTAAGTTTAAAAGAAAAACAAAACGAAATCAAACACCTTTGAGAGGGCATTTTTTATAATTGTAATAATCAAATAAAAAGAGAAAAGAAATCGTAGTAGAAATAATTTATTTAACTATATAAAGAAAAAATATATATTTTATACGATCCGATAATTAATTAATTTTATACGAGTAAACTATATAATAAAAAGATATAAAAAACTCTTTTTTATACGCAATGTACTGATTAAGTAATAAATAAAAAACCCAACTTTTTTATATAATAAAAAAATATAATATTTGTTTTTATTTTAATGGGGAAGAAAAACTACGATAGGTAAGTTTGCTGATCTGAACGTAGTTACATTAGTTATTTTAAGGGGTGTAAAAGATACTGAATACTTAGAGATGGGCAGTGGGTAACTCATTAACTGCCGAACCACTTGTCATAGGCGGCCAAATTTTGCTTACATGTTTTTAATGTCAAAGCAAATATTGGAATGCAAAATGGGTTCCCTGGGTCCAAGTTTTGATATAGCCCCCAAATAACCGTACGTCCCTATTTAAGGTATTTTTGTCTATTAGACACATTTTACGACCAAATTGGCTGTAATTTGGCACAGTGTGTTTTCTATGTATACCAAATATCCTCGCAAAAACTCCACGAAGTGGGTAGAGCGTTTTTGTGTAGCCCCTATATAACGGCCCCGATTTTGGGTATTTACCAACAATTTGGGTATAACATTTTTAACAGTCAACCCTCTTGACGTGTATTTTGAAGACACACTTTCCCACAACGGAACTTCTAGTGCTATATGAACGATTTGTGTCAAATGTTATTAGCCTACGTCAAGTGATTCGGCAGTTAATGAATTTATAACGAATGTTTGTGTAAATACTCAAAATGGGGGTGCCTGTGTATGGGGGCTACCAATAAGTCGTTTACCTACATATATAAATCTTTGCATGGACATTTGGTACCCAAGAGAACTCTCTGTGCCAAATTACACCCAATTTGGTCGTAAAATGTGTATAATACACAAAAATAATTAAATCGGGAGATACGGTTATCTATATATATAAAAGAGTTGCGTTATAAGTGACTGACTGATCATCAACGCCCACACGGAACGGCTAAAGCTAGAAACTTGAAATTTGGCATGTAGGTTGGGTTTGGTGAGTAGGCGTGTGATAAGGCGGGGTTTTTGGAAATTCGTACTAAAAGGTACTAAAAAGTACTAAAAACAGTATTACACGGGAACGGTTGGATGTAGAACTTTGAAATTTGGTATGCAGCTTTGCCTACGATAAGCGAAGTGGTATGTTTCAAAAATTTTTGGAATTTAGTACTAAGAGGTACTAAAAAGTACTAAATATTATATTTGAATGGTATCGGTAGATATACATATCTGATACTTGGTATGTAGCTTAAGCTATTGCAAAAAGAATGATGTGCAAAAATATTTTTTGAAAATTAGTACTAAAATGGTACTAAACAGTACTAAAACTGTATTACAGCGGAACGGTTAGAAGTAGAACTTTGAAATTTAATACATAGCTTTGTCTATGACGAGCGAAGTTGTATGTGTGAAAAAATTTTGGAATTTAGTACTAAGAGGTGCTAAAAAGTACTAAATATTATATTTGAATGGAATCGTTAAATGCACATATATGAAACTTGGTATGTAGCTTAAGCTATTACAAATAGAATGATATTCAAAAATATTTTTTGGAAATTAGTACTAAAAAAAACTAAAGTACTAAAAATTTATTACAGCTGAACCGTTGGAAGTAGAACTCTAAAATTTGGTACACAACTTTGTCAATGCTAAGCGAATCAGAATGTGTGAACAAATTTTGGAAATTAGTACTAAAGGTACCAAAAAGTACTAAATATTATACTACGATTGAATTTTTGGAAATTAGTAGGGGAGAGGGGGGCACCTTTGAACACTTTTTGCTTTCAAGCCTTATACATTTTTTTATTTTATCATTTTTGGTTTCTTATAAGTTTGAACTAATAGGTACATATGTAACCTTTAAAATGAATATACATATGACATACTATAAGCTTGATAAATATATTTTATTACTGTTTTAATGGACGAACTCAAAGTGTTCAAAACTTCCCCCCAGGGGGGCACCTTTGAACAGGGGTTGGCATTTTTGAACGACATGGTTTTTTACAGTGCTTATGTTCAAATATGTATGTATTTTATTCATACATATCAGAAATGCATAAATTCATTAAAAAATATATAAAAAATGTTCAAAATTTAAAAAAATTAGATCAAAAGTCATTAAAACATAAAATGACTTAAAAACAAAAATTAATATGATGAAAAATATAGTTAATTTCGTAATCTTATGAGCCCATTTGAAATTTTGAGAAATCAAAGCCAAAAGTTAAAAACTTCTTTTTTTACTCGAGTTTAATGGGCATGTTCAAAGGTGCCCCACCCATGGCATTTTACGGAAATTTAAAAGAACTTTTTTTTGTAATAAATATATATGAAAGAAATTACATTAGTTATGTTTGAAATGATTGTTGGAATGCAAAAAATTTGTTTGACGAAAGAAAACTATCACAGAATTCTTCCTGCGCCCTTACAACCAAATGAATAAAAGTTTACAATGACACTGAGAAAACATGGTCACCCATGGACAATTTTTCGATAACTGAAAAAGCAAGCCAAAGTGGTTTACGCATATAGAGAACAAGATTGCCATATACAAAAATGTGGTTGCAGGTCGGAAAAATATTAAACCAAGATTTTATGAGCGCTGTTCAAAGGTGCCCCACGTTCAAAGGTGCCCCCTCTCCCCTACTAAAATGTACTAAAAAGTTATAAATATAGATAGAGATAGAAATGTGAAACTTCGCATATAGCTTTAACTATTACAAGTATAACTCTATACATAATATTTTATTGGAAATTAGTAGTAAAGTGGTGATAAAAAAGTACTAAATAATAAAATGCAATGGAACTGCTAGAAATAGAAATCTGAAATTTGGTATGTAGCTTCCTCTATTAAAAATATGTTATGCATAATTCTTTTGAAATTAGTACTAAAATGTACTAAATAATAATGGGCGCGGTTCGTAGATTTACTATTACAAATGCCATTTTAGTACTAATTTTTGACCTAATTTTGGAACCAGTGATTAAAAACTTATCTGCAACAATAAGCATTTATACATACATATTTTCCTGAAATAAGTTCTAAAATGTACTAAAAAGAAAAACACATTGTATACGGCCGTACGGGGGAATATAGAATTTGCTACAAGGCTTTTCCTATGAAAAAACAATGCTTTTCGCAATTTTGTTTGACACTAAAGTACTAAATATTGTATACGACAGAACGAGTAAAGATGGAGTCCTGAAATTTTGTATGTGTATTTAGCTATAACAAATTAAAAAAGGTTATTTTTTGAAAATTTGTAATAAAAGCACGAATTTTAGTATTTATCTTTGACTATGGCAAATAAAATGATTTATGGAAATATTATAAATAAAAAAAAAAAATACTAAAAATTGCTGATAGTTACATGAAATATAGTTTTCAATCCCACATGGATCTACTGCGAATAATTGTGAGAATTTTTGTTTAAACTTCCGGTGAAACTATGCAAACAACCGATGAACACCACAAGTACTAAATTGTTGGCACTTTTAAATGAGCTGTGCAAAATATTATATTATAAATTCGTACTGTAAGGGTACAAAAGTACAAAAACGTGATTCGTATTTTACCATTAGTTTTAAATTACAGAAAGGAACATACATGTTTAAAACCCCTATTATAGTACTACTGGCATAGATCCATCGGGAGGATCGAAAAAACATTACACTTGCAAAAATATAAGTAAATTGTACTCGATTAACTAAGAACAATCATCAACGTTTTTGTTCGAAAGAAATGCCGGTTAAGATCTGAGATTTACTTATAATTTTTAAGATATAGGACCTATCATTTTTAGCAATGTTTTAAATTTATACTTAATCCAAAAGTATTATGTAGCTAAATTAATGTTTTTTTAGTTCAACTATAAAAAGAT